TGTACAAGACTGGATGAAGTAGAAGAGACTCAAGGCAGATTGATTTTGTACAAGGGAACTGCAGCAAGATTATCGTATGCTCAACGATGGAAGAATAATGAAATTCCCACAGTGGAGGAATGGATTGTGAAAACGTCAGAATTCGCTGAAATGGCAAACTGACCTGTTAGGTCAGAGGAAAAAAACAACAGAAACTTTTCTGAAAGTCCGGAAACTTTATATGGACTTTTTGCTGAAAGAAGAAAAAATGAATGATATGATGATTTGAGGATTAAAAAAGATGTGGCCTAAGTGAGGGGATGAAGGGATATGCATCAAATCTAAGGAGGAGGGAAGATGATAAGACTGTAATTATCTGTTCAAGAGAAGGTCGGAAGTCATTATCTTTCATAACTTTAGTTTTTTTCTTCTTTTCTTGCACCCTTTTTCTTTTCTTCCTTTTTCTTTAGATTTGTCTTTTACTTCATGTACTTCTTAATGAATATATTTTTAAAACAAAAGGATTGGAAGGCTATTTTGTTATAGTGGGTTATGGTCTTTAAAAGCTGAAACACAGAGAAAGCCAAAAATACATCCATCTGCCTTATCTACATGAGAATGGCACCACAAGGTTTTGTTGTAAGTGCCAGGACAATAGGTAAGGTCAGATGTTATTGTGGCCTTTTAAAAATATTGTTTTTAAGTAACCCACCCCAATCCTGAGTTTCTTGTAGCCTCTTTCTATATGTAGGGGAGTAAGTATGTTACTGTACTTTTTAATCCATATCCTAGTTTTCATTGTTGAGACTTCTGAGAACAACAGTTCAATTAATTGTGCTAAAGTGTAAAACTGCAGCTCCTCGTAAACCTGAGGAGCAGCCCCCAGAACCCTCTCAGTTCATTGAATTATACTTTTAATGCGTCAAGGGGATGGAAAAATAAATTGAGGGGAATACTCATATTAAGTATTTAATTAATTACATATAAAACTAAATTTAATTTTAATCTTAGCCACTCACTTTTTTCGCCTGGCTTTTCCTCAGTTTTTGGAGTACAACTTCCACTTAAGGCCAAGTGTGATCCTCAGCCCCCAAAAAGATTGTTTATAGGTATAATGATAGATGATTGATAGATAGATTGTGGTTACATATAATTACATTAAGTGTTATGATTGAATGTCATCACTCTTTGAAAATAACCACCTCTGCTTTCTTTTCTTAGGTGTTCTATATTCCGTGTATGCAGATTACATCAACACCTCAGATAACCGAGAACCAAAAGAAGTGATCAACACAAAGCAAACAACTGACACCTGCTGGAGGGATATCTGCATGTGATGGGCTGTGTGTTGGGAATAAAGCTCATGGGTTTGACTTCTGTATGAACATAATATCAGAGTATTAACCTGATGAGCACATCAGTTTATGAAGCTGATCATTGGTTTGTACAGCTCTGGCTACTACCTTTCAAGATCTCTACCAGCTGTCACACTTTACATTAAAGGTAATAGCAATACATTCGGTTTCTCTGGAAACTCAACCCTGCATTCAGTAATTAGCTAACAGCTTCACAGATTTGACCTGGTTAGATAAGCTGTTTTATTGCAGATGGGAAAGAAGTCATATACACAGATGAAATGTCTGCTGCAGAACACAAGAATCAAGGCCATATATTTTTGTCAGCCCTTGTGTTTAAATCACAGGCCTTTCCTTCCCACCTTTTTGAATCAATGGACTTTGAGCTATTTTTTTCTCAGTCTTAAGAGTGGGAAACATTCATTCCATGTTTATATAACAATTCTGTCTAGCCAGAGAATCATTGCTTCCTGCCTTGTCAGCTTCAGTCCTTACACCAGATACTTCTCTCCTAGCTAAGTCCTTTTCTGAGCATTCAGGAACTGAATTCTGGATCGCCTATGTGCCATGCACATGTTTTGTCACAGAGTTGGACTATTGCCCCTGCCTCTTCATCTGGAGCAAGCTACAATAAAGCCAAGGAGACTTTTCTTCTGAGTAGATTGATAGACAATTTGACTGCACTTTAAAAGTGTTTGTCTAGCATTCAAAACACAATTGAATCTACCATTCATGCTTTTTAGGGTCAACTCATTTGCATGCAACATTTTTCATCCATGTGCTGCTCTTTTTTTTTTTTTAACTTTCTTTTTCAGTGGAGTCCTTGGGGTTCTCTGAGCTTGGTTGTTTTCTTGCAAATGTTTTGTTCCCTGGCTAGGTAACATCTTCAGTGCCTGGCCAGGTAACAAAATGTTTGCAAGAAAACAACCAAACTCAGAGAACCCCAAGGACTCCACAGTTCAACCCTGTGATGGAATGGACTTATGAAGGCCAGGGTCAGGGAGATAAGCATGTTCTTAGCCCCCAGCAGGAGCGTGGGAAGTT